ACGTACGCATTCATGCGCACAATATCTCGGAACCCCAACTGACCCGGGCATATACTATACAGGGTACGGAAAGGTCACTAACAGATTAGCTTTCAGGGCACAAACATGTGGTTTCAAGCGTGCACAACTGTGGTAGCCTATGAGGTGTACCCACGTCATTGCGCAATCAGTAGCTTCTGTGGCCAATCCACACCTGTCAGGGCAAAGAGGGAGTGGCCAGCTGGCGCCGATGCTTTTCAGAAGCTAGACTCACTCATTGTCAATTAGCAGCTACATTGGACGCTGTACCCGCCAAACCTACCGGCTATATCATATGCCGCCAGGTGTAGCAGACGCCACTTTACTTCCATGGCCGCTCTAGCGACGTCTACATATTTGTAGAGGTTTCTCTCCTACCTGCTCTGCAGCCATACCTGCATCCGTTCGTCGGGCGCAATGGGAATGATATGAAGAGGCTGTCTATCGGCCTTCTCTATTCCGCAGACGGCGCGCATCGCTTCAGGCCCATTGTAGTGAGCCCCGATCGGGAGCCACTGAGGCTGGGCCACGATGTCAGTGGCGACGAGTGGGCATATATCCGCCGTACTCGGTCCGGCCGCATAACCCCCCAGGTAATGGCGAAATGTACTAGAGATGACACGCAAAAATGTCTCCTATATATGGACTCAAGACGTTGGTGCTCAATATATGTCTCTGTGATACTCTATGTTGTTACGTGCAGCTTTTCACGCAGTTCATGCTAGGCCTCAACGCTGCGAAATTTGCAGAGGACCGTGACATCGTCGTCCTTGTGTCCTCGCGTAGGCACAAGCTCACTTGGGGAGAGGGCAAGCGAGAGCCGAGTGGGCCCTTCATGGTGCACCACCTAACCCATACTCGCATTTTGCAGCTTCATGATACTGTACCAGACGTGGGGAACCCCGTCGTGCAGGGCATTGTCACGTTCTTCAGGTCCGAATTCCGCACAATGTGGGTGGACCACCAGACTCGCTTCATGAGGCGCGTGCCTCCAGCTTGGGTGTGGACCAGCAACTCTCCATCGGCCGCGAACACGTTGCAGTGGACATACCAGGCACTGTGGGGGGTGGCGAAATCTCACATTCAGCTCGCGTTTTGGCGCACTGGGTGCGTCCCGGACGAGTGGCTGCCTCGGCTTCACGCGATCAACCGCGACCTGCATGTCGAGGTTGTGGAGCAGCTCGTCGCTAGCCTCACGGGCCTGCAGAGGAGGCTGGACCAGTTGGACATCCCCGACTGCGTGATGGAAGCATTGGACTACGCGACTTGGGATGACACCATGGACGAGGATACGGCCGAACGTGTTCCTGAGCCGGTCATCCGTCGGATTGATGATTCAAGCAGTGTCGGCCGCGTCTCATGGGACGACAGGACTCGCCGCCGATTCATGCGTATGGCATCTGATGCGTACACAAGGCTTGCTAGCGCGACGGGAGTAGCTCCGAGTGTCGTCGTCACGCTTAAGCGCTTGGGGAACCCGGACCTCGTTGACCGACTGCTGCGCACACCAGAGAAGAAGGTTAGGAGGCATTCATACGCGCCTTCCTCGTCCATGTCTTCCACGGCCAGCGAGGAGATATGCTTCAACTCCCCAACGGCATCCCTGTCTAGCGTGCATGGGGATATTGAGTATGGGATGTAGTAACTGATGGTTGTATTGATCTCAATAACCGTTGTATTTGTCGAATAATAAGCACATCGTCAATCATTGTGTACGTAACGAGATTGTTCACGTTGGGGATATAGGGATTTCCACGCTCAATCCGAGAGCGAGTATGATGTTCACCTCCCCGATATGGCACAATCTGAAGAAAGCGCGAACTAATTTTGCAGTTTGTGCTCGGTACACCCAGTTGACCATGAAAGCGTGCCAACACTCCACAAACCACTCCACACCGCTTCATATCGTCCCAGCAGCCCGTTCCTCGATTCCCGTAGGACGGACACTTACAAAACCCTAACGTCCGCCTAATGTTACTGATTTTAGTTGGTAGTGGCATGATGAGCGCAACGCATTGTAAAGCGCGCGACGTGCTGGAGCCTCGTCGGCGCAACACCCGGGGTTATTTCATACGGTCTAAGCCCACTATAGCCTACGCCATAATGCAGATGAAGGGTGCCATAATGTCACAACGAGGTGAGACCCTTAGCGCGGCCACGATTCTGAGGTCTCTGGACCCATTCCTGGGTAGTGGAAGGCGCAGTCCTAGACAGCACAGGGCGCGCGCGATTTCAGAAGCCCGTGCGTCTCTTGCAATAACACCCGATGCACCCACACCGTTCATGTACCTGAGGCTCATATACGCCACGTATCCGGACGAGTCGGAGTCGAGCATTACACGTGCCAAAGGTCGACAGTTTATGACGTCAATAGCGGATTACAGGCTCGTAAATCACAGCGCAACAAGCCTCGAGGATGTCATACTGCCGGGGTTACCGACATTTGACTACAGAGTCGTTCTAATGGCCGAGGCAAGGGCGATGGGATATGAGGTGAGGATCGTTGGCGTGCCGACTGGGTGTGTTTCCGATGGCCATTGAAAGGTGTGGGATGTTTATCTGGTGTGCAGGAGGAGAGACATCGGTCCGATGGGTCCAGGATTTCGGCACCTCACTCAAGAGACATATGCACGGGAGGTGGCACCTCATCCATTGTAAGCCGTATATATTGTTCCGTTGATGCCCTTACAAAGGACGGTGTGTGTTGTGGTGCCTGCATGTCCTACGCTAAACCCAGATGAAGCATGTTTCAGGTGCACAGGCCCAAGGAGTGGAAGGACATGGACGAAGGAGTGCGCATCGGGGATCTCAGTCGTGCTCTGGGGATGATACCCTGGTGGTCCAAGGTATCTACTAAGCCCATGCAAGAAGAGTCCATGACGGGCACCTCATCCAAGACTATTGATTGTGCCTACGTTCGCCTAGTAAAGTATAACGCCACCCGGTAGACAGGGCCTTTTGACTTATCGGCGCGTGGGCATAGGTTGTTACGGAACGGGATTAGAATGTGCCGTGGAAACGTTGAAATACTTGCAGATGTAGCCAGTTTGAGATTTGATGTATCATGTAAACATCAAACCTAAAAAGTTTTCAGGGCCGTTCACACTATCGAGCTTCTTTGTACATGTCGTGTAACACACACCGTAAATCAATCGGGTGTACAAGGTCAAACGACGAGATTTTGGCGGCGATATCGCGGACGGAAATGGCTTCCGAAGTGGCTTCGGTGTTTGGGAGGCAGATACAAGGAGTCATTTAGCACTGTGTGGCTATTCGCTCAAACCCTAACCTTATGCCCGGTATGGCCTCCCCTAGCAGCAACGACACAGAGGTAGCGGCGCGTCACATCAACAAGCTACTGGGTGGTAGCTTTGATCGAGATGGCACTCGTATGCAGGGACCGCCAGCGTGTGGTGATATAAACGCGGGTGCCGACATCAGTCGAGATAAAACCGTCATTGTGACTGTTACTCCCGAGCCACACACCGGTAATGGCCGACAGCCGGTGGTAGACTCATCTGATGACGAAACGGAGGATGGAGTCGCGGGGGCTACGCAGTCAATTACGGGACCTGTGAAGAACGAACAGCCCACGATATCAGCTGGGGGGAATGTAGATGCTGCACACTCGGTACCTAGTAGCTGGGAGAGGATGCAGATTGAGGAAATAGCCGCGGGTGCGGAGCGCGAAGATCCACCGGCCGATTCACGCGAAGGTTCTACCCGCGTGAATGATCTCTTCGACTTCTTCTTCCCTGGCAACAGGGGCGACGCGAATAATGTGCCCGTTGAGACGGGAGAGTCAGACCCTCCAAACCCGTCCAGGTCTAGCTCGGCGTACAGGGCCCCGGGTACTTGCGTGTCTAGCGCCGCTACTCCTACGAGGCACGTCCGGTCACAGACAGGTGAGTACCAAACAACATGAATTGCTTGACTGCGTGCTGCCATTTGTGGGAGCCCTGTTGCACGTTATTTACCTCGCGCTGCGCTGCGTTGCGTACATGTCCCATAGGATGCCCGGATGAACGTACACACGAGTATGGGCGGCGCCGCGAGAGGCGGAGGCGTACACACGTCGAGGACCCCGGAGGTAAGGGCCGTCCTGTTATTTGCCGTGGCCGATGCTTCACATTGCCTCACGACTTGTCTTTGTGCCCTTATGGCAGATGGTACCAAGACCACCAATATTGATGGAGCGTTGCTCCTGTTAGATGTACTTGATCGTCTCATGCGGCGACGTCGTAGTCGGCGTGACCACCGTGGCAGCTATTACTGATAAGTTTACCCCCATATGGCCGGAAGGTAAAGCATGCCGTACTTGGAATGCATGTAGTTGCCCTGAACCCGCTTATGTATTAGATTTTAAGTATGCCATTGTGGTTTTGTGTGACACATGTGGAAAAATGCATTGGCATAGGTTTCGTAGGGGTGTGGACAATTGTTGTAATAATTCACCGTTTATGTCTGGCAAGGATGGGAGATAGTCCATCGGAAATCACAGACGGTGTTTGAACATTGATCTTCTATGTTTTGCTGTATCGAGTATATTACCACCTCGTGGTGTAACCACCGCGCCTGAACAAAGCAAGTGCATACTTCACGAAGGGATTTCTTACCGCATGCATTTCAGCCGGTTAGGGTTTCTCGTTACGGATAAGGCCGCCCGCCCGGACTCTCCGCCCTTTTGTGCGTGCACGATGTATTTGACGAGCCATTATAGCAGCTGTGATAATGGGGTGACGTAGGCGGAGGACCCATGTTCCGAACATGCAGTATTAGTAACTGGAGTAATAGAACGGTCTGCGGTGCGCGAGACGTGGTGTACGGAGTTTCGGTGGTAGGATGCAGGGCGTGCGCGGCTCAAAAACAGCATAGGTGGTACTGCGTGTAGTGGAGAACATGCATGACGGTAATGGTTGGCTAACGGGAATTAGAGGGGAAGTCAGGGAACGGCCATTGGGTGTGTGCGCAGATTAAGACACATGGCAGGGAACAGGTGCGGGGCGTGCGGGCAGGAGCTGGAGTCAGACAACCTACTGAGAATCCATCTGTATCGCAATGATACGTGCAGGGACACGATGCTCGAGAGGCTCGAGAGTAGGGCGATGGAGGCGTTGGCGGAGGCTTTGGCCGAGGTGAGAAATAGCCCGCATCATTCGGACAGTGAGTCAGTCCCGGGCAGCCCCCACTCCGCCGACTCGCTGTTCAGATATTTGAGAGAGTTTCCCGAGCACGCGGATTTTGTGCGCGGGTACGTGTCGACGTCGGACGATGGATCTGTATCCACAGTTGGCGACCTGTTCAACACCCTGAACGAGCTGTACCTGTTCTTCAAGGACGCTGATTTGTCGGACAGAGAAATAAATAGAGTGTTGCACATATTCAACCACCCGGGATACGATCCTGCAGCGGTTCGGCGCTGGCAGAACGTCGCCGACGTGAGGCGGTTTGGGGAGGAACACGCGCCGGACGACATGGTGCCGTGGCTCAAGGCAGAGATTGAGGTGCGGGGCCCCGGAGGAAGGTCTCAGATGCTGGAACTGCTGTACAAGGACACCAAGCTGGTGAGCGATTGATGGTTGGTGCTGCACGGAGTCGGCGAGTGTATGTCTGTTTATGCACCGTCTATACACAGGCTTCCCGCGCCTCCGTGTGGACAGATTGCGCAGAAGATGGTGAAGACATTCGTGAATGTGAGGGGATTTGTCAAACGGCCGCGGCGAGATCCGGAAGATACGGCGGACACAAGACATTTCAGTACGCCCGACACAGGGACTTGGCTGGAAGAGGCGCAGGCAAGTAGAGGCAAATGTTCCCAAGCGTCACATGGGGCTCTGATGTGAGTTGGTCTGACTCTTTTGGTCGCCTTGTGTCGTTGTCAGGCGGAACTGCCGGAGGAGGATTCTATGGTGCTGGGTGTCATCTCGTACAGCGACAGCACTTACGCGTCGGGGAACGGACGCCTACAGGCATGGCCAATGTTGATGGGTTTGGTCAATGTCCCGGAGGAGTTACGGTGGCGTGAGCCTGGGCACGCGCTAGTGGGTGTGCTCCCTTTTCCGCCAGAGTGGGCATCTGCGACGGAGAAGACGCCGGAGTATCAGGAGGCGTATCGCATCGTGATGGGTCCGCTCATTCGTGAGAGCCGCGAGTAAGTGGTCCGAATGCATGCTCTAGGCCGTTGGAGGCGAACGGGGTCATTGTCGGTTTCTGAGACCCATCAAACATGTACGTGGTGCATGCAGTGGTCCTCTTCGAGTCTTCGATGTGTCAGACGGCCGGGGAGGTGTGGTCAAGGCATATCCATGCCTCTATGCATTTGTTGGCGACTATCCGGAAGGGTGCCGGGCCACAGCAACGATGCAGCAGGCGTCGCACAGACCGTGCTCGAGCTGCTACATCAAGAGGGCGCACCTACATGACCTGTCAAACCAGTCAATAGTGCGCACTGCGAAGGGAGAGCGGCACGCGGCGGCGAAGATACTGAGCGCTACGAAGGTGGAAGGCGCTGCAGCGATCCAGGCCAGGTGGTCTACGCATCCGATCACGGTGCGCGTTCGATGTTTGTGTGTGGCAAGTCACATGGCCGCGGCCATGATTGTAGCGGCATGATGTTGCTTTTTATGATGAGTCTGACAGCACCATCCAACGTGCAGAGCGTTCTGGAGCGCTGGAACTTCTCTGAGACGAAGTGGGGTAACGTCTTCCTGGCGGTTGTTGGCGACATATTGCATGTGCTGGATTCCGGGGTGCTGGTGCATATGGCCACCTGTTTCATGGAGGGGAAGACGAAGGCCGAGATTCGGGGGTTTGATCAGTGAGTACACAGAGATTCCGTGAACTGTTTTGTATGCGGTAGTGCGTACGTGGCGGATCTCACCACGGGAACAATCGAATCTCGTTGCTTGTGTGTGATTGGTGCGTGGAACAGCCGCAAGTTTGGCGTGAAGGGCGAGACAAGGAATGTCTTGGTGCGCATCCCGGGTGGCTCCACCTTTTTCCGCAGCGGGGCGAATTACGCGGCGTTCGAGTATCGTGGCATGATGCAGGTTTTCCCTATTGTCATTTCCGACCTGTGTGTGGGGCGCTCTGCGGAGGAAAGGGACCAGAGGGATAAGGAGGTTCGTGCCTTCCGCTACTATGCGGTCTTCTACAAGTCCCTGCTGGCTGTGACCAAGCACACGCGGCTCACAATCGCCATCGCGAGGCAGCATGGCATCTCGTGAGTGAACATGATGGCCACGTGTTTCGGTGCTACAATTGGCCATGTTGTACACTGTGGTGATTCTTTCAATGTTCGCATTACAATGTGCATACACCTCCGTGTAGACTGGTGGCTGCACTGCAGGCGGCTTTCCCGAGGCAGAAGACGAATTGGAACTTCGTGAAGCTCCACGAAGTTGTACACCTCATCAACGGCATATCCATGAGGGGTTTGCCGCACGAGTATTCCACGGAGCTGTGGGAGCATACCCACAAGGGCACCGTGAAGGGCCCCGTGCGCGGAAGCAACTGGAAAGACATACCAAGCAGGATTGTCGAGGAGGAGACGCAACGCGAGATCACTCGGGAGATTGCAGCGCTGTCAGGAGGAGGGAGAACTTACTACACCGCCCTGCGAGAGGTACACAACGCGTCGCCGTGTAGTGTTGGTGGCATTTGTTAAAGGCACGCAGGTATGCGAGGTGTTTGGAATCAATGAATCCACCGGTTCATCCCATGCGTGCTCACAACCCACCCCTCAGGCTGTGCGCAGCATGAAGCCCGCGCTGACCCGCACCAGCAAGGCCATGTGTCTCATGACGGCAGACGATCCACTGCGGATGCTGTACAGGGAGACGGTGGGCAGTGAGTTTGACAACATGGCGACACTCATGGCTGCGGAAGGCCTTCAGACTTCACGTGTGTTGGTGAGATGCAGTGTCATGTTAGTAACTCGGTAATCAAGCTGTTGGCTTCGGTTGTAAAGGGGGGTGGGCCGTTGTGTGTTGGACACGTACGTGAAGAGGCGTCATCGTACAATGTGTTGGTCCTCATGCAAACCCACCCATACCCGGCAGGTGCACACCGCAGTGGCCATCCCTAGCACGAAAGGGGGGTACTTGGTTCCGAAGGCGATGTTCGTGAAAGCAAGCCCGAAGGAGAACTGGTTCACCGACATTGCAATACCGGGAGAGAGGGAGGAGGAGGAGGAGGAGGAGGAGTGGTGGTATGCGCGGTGTCTCTGTATTTTCAGGGCGGTGAACTACAGCGGGGAGGAAGGTGCATATGTATTCGTGAAGTATTACGAGGAGGAGGGGGTGTGTCCCCAGACACTTTGCCCCCAATTGGTGCCGGGGCGGAAGGAGGCCACGCACGGGATCATTGAAGTTGCATCGATCGAGCGCATTGTCCACGTGTGCAAGTCCTTTACTAATCCTAGAGTCAGGCTACTCAATAGGTTTGCACTCATCGACTGATGGATTTGAACGCATTGCGATATGAATAACAAGATGGCCCTAAGTGTGGCCCCAATCATAGAGTAATAACGTTGTTTTGATACGGAAGTGGGATATGGCCGGGATCACTGGTGAACTTGATAAATTGAAGTCACAATTGTAACTGCAAAGTAGCGTTGGAGACACTTCAGAGTTGTTGCTGCAATGTCAGCTGTAAATGTGCGCGCCGAAGCTTTTCCGAAGCTTTTCCGAAGGTTTCCCGCATGAAAAGCTACCGTGTACATTTTGTGCAAACTCGGAATTCCGCGATGAACCGAATGCAGCAGTAATCATTTGTCGACGTGGTGTGGTATGCTTCACATATTTGTTGCAGAATTTGAACGGAATGCACCATTACGAGTAGATGAGGACCTTAACAGCCGCGACATACGACGCTGACGTCAGAATCAGCACAAGCAGAAGCACCGGCAACGCCGCCGTGGTGGCAACGGCTTGCTTTGTCCGAGCCATAAGCGGCAAAGGAGTTGATCCCGACTGTCAAAAATATATATTTCTGAGAGGCTGAGAATAAACCGGTGAACAGGCGCAGAATGGGAAAGTTGCTGGCTGAGGGATTTGGGAAAGATGCTGACTGCTGATGATGAGAGTCGGATGACGAGAGCCATTTAGTAGGCGTAAGAGTGTGCGCTTCCACGAAACAATTTCGCCTTGCCAGTCCAAGGTTGGGAGGATGCAGCTCTCACAGGGAGCATTTTGGCGGGAAAACAATTTTCCCATCGAAATCAAATGCGTCAGTTGCACATTGCGCATGTTTCGGCGTGCAATTTTTCGCCATGCGGTTACTCCGCCAAGCCCAGCGGCTGCGCAAACCCAATCAACCCAAGTTGGGCAATTTCGTAAAATTCTCGAGGCGCAGGTTTCAGCAGAGAGGTTCACGCAATGGAAATCTGTCACATGGTTGATTCTGTTGGTGGCGGCCGACATGTCGAAGGGAATTTCGATTGTTATGTTTTTGTTCCGTGTGCCCGAAACTAAACCAGTGTGCAGACTCGCTTGCTGGATCTTTAAACACGAGCCATTAAAGCTGTCGCCTACATACCTCCTGCGAGAGGACCTGGTTTATCACTTGAAAACCAGGTAGCACAGGGCTTCGCTCCATCCTTGGGTGGCGAGGTGCAGTTACTGCTTTCTGACAACCCAACCCCCCCTCTGAAAGTTGGCCTTCTCAGGATTGGCTTACAAATTTCGCGCCAATCTACCCCCCAACCTCGATTGGTTGCAGGTTGTGGCGAAATCGCCACCACAACCCCAACCTCACGAAAAAAGTACCCCCCCAACCAAACCTTGCACGAAACTGGCGGGATTCGCCAGTTGTGTTTGAATCCTTCGCGCTCTCATTTCTGGAAAGGGATCATTTCGTGTGCAAATCAGACTTCGTCTTAGGGTGTGCACCCGAAATACCCCCAGAAAATACCATTTGGTATGTAGACCGCAGCTTTAAGCTTGGGATGATGAAAGGGTCCGGAAGCTCGTCCTGTGGATTTGCCTGTGGAAAAACGCTCGTCATCCTCGTCTCGTCCTGGGAGTTGGGACGAGTCGAAAGTGGGCGCAAAGCTGGCGCAAGGCTGCGCCGAGTAGGACATCCCCCACCACCCCTTGTGCACTGCTGCAACTGCCCGTTTCGTTCCGGTCCTGCCCGAGTTTCGAATGTTTGGAGTTTTGAATTGTGATGTCGCGAATTCGCGACCATCGTCGATGTAACCACTTCGACCGGCTACTGACGCTGTCCGCTCGCCCGACCGGTTGCGACCTAACTGTCTGCGCGACGTCGCACGACTCAGAATCGGGGATCCGTTATTGGGCGACTTCCGTTTCAGGACAGTGACTTGATAATTGACGTGCAACCTAGATGGAATTGCCGCTCCTTTCCTACACTTGTTTCGGGAAATACTAGTGTTCGAAGCATAGGTACGAACGAAACATAATAACGGCTTCTGCGTGAAAGCACATCACTCCATCACGCTACTTCACCGTCCATTCGTTTTCATCCACAATCGACGCACATTCCCGCCCGCTCGACCGCTACATAACGAATAATGCGAGTCATATGTTATTGGTTTGAAGTGTGGGCCAATAATAGTTTTAGGGTTAGAACACTTTTCAGAAATGGTGTAGAAAAATCACTGTAAAGGATAAAGAGTGTGTTCTCAATGTTCGTCGATGTCAGAGTCTGACCTCTGCAACACCACTGCTCTGCATCCATCGCGCGTCCTACCTCTCTGCTGGCTCCCAATCGACACATCAGAATCTGGCGGGAGCGAACAGATTTGCAGAGGGGCGACCATTGCAGTTCTGTCGACGCGATGCGTGGGGAATGGGCGATTTCGATCTATGTACTGCAGTTTTGATCATTGTTCTCGTTTGTTTCGTCTCTCGTCGTCTGTCGTCGTTTCCGTCCAACATGCATCATTGCCCATTGATTGCACGGCATTTGACATTGACTTTCTCGTCTGCACATTTCTAGTAGATTCACGACTCAATGGTGCATGTACTGATGGGAAATCGTTCGTCAGAATGAATGTTTGTAATCCCTAGATTAGAAGTCCAGGTGTGGTCTACAGAATTGCAGACGTCGATGTTTTTTTAAGGGGCGGGCTTAGTCTAGAGTAGTGGTAGACTAGAGCTCCCTTTCAACTTTAGTAGAGTTTCTGACTTAGCCATAGGTGCACGTTTATTGTAGACAATCTAGCACAGTGTAAACTGTCGACCATTTTCTATGTCGCCCATTCCATCCTGATTCTACAATATAATAATGGAGCAGCATCACGAAGCTGGTTGGGTAAACGCTTCCCAACCAGACAATGAACCGGCAGAACTTAACGACGAGGATCTGCAAACCGTACCCGAAGGTCTCGACCTTACGGGCGAGGCTCATAATGAGGAGTTCTTCGAACCAGTCGAGGTCGAAGACGTCGAGCAGGACATTCTCGCAGATGGAAGGCAAGCTGTCGAGGAGGAGGACAGGGAGAACGAGCGATTTTACAACGCTCCCGAGGAGCTAGGAGCTACGGGCTTCGAGCCAAGAAACGTATGTGACCTCAATGAGGCGCCGACTTGCGACAGAGTCCAAGGAGAGCACCCTGCGGAAGTTGATTTATCTGGCGAAGATTGGGCAAGCGGGTCTTCCTCGAGTGGGTCGCCAGCATCAGACAGTGGGCGTTGGGGTCCGACAACGGATTTTCGGCAGCAGAATCCGCAGGACGAGCGTACGGACCCTTTCGACCGCCCTCCTGCACCCGAGGTCGAACGTGAAGAGGGAGGGACGCATACGCGCCGGTGCTTGGACTGGGATCCAGAACAGCCTGTACCTGGGATCCGCCCTGAAATTCCAATGCCTCGGGAGAAGAAGGAAGCAATCACTTGAGCATGGAAGCATGTTATTGCAAGGAAGGATCAAACGAACAATTGCTACGTAGGTTGCTGGTGGTACTACAAGAGATGGGTCTTCCTGCTAATGGCGCAGTTGCTCGATGTTCCAGAAGAGGAGAGGCTGGACCCCGAAAAACCGGACGAAATTGGGATCTTTCTGGGCAACGACAAGGGACAGGGCTGGGACGGCGTCCCAAAGAACGAATCCCATCTGCACGGGCCGAAGCTGACTTTATGGCGGCTTTGTCGTTTCATGGAGTACCTGTTCACCGAGACAGAGGACCAAGCGAAGAAAATGCGGGAAGGTCGTCAGATGTATGCGGGTAAAGTGCCGAAGGCTTGCACAGCTTCCATGCTGAAGGCGAAGATGAACGCGATGAGTTGTCTTGGAGAAATCGAAGGACGCCTTTTCAACTACTCTGCCTCTCGTGTGTCGGACATGATGAGGGAGGCAAGGGGTTTGCTTCGGATCAAGCTCCGCAACCTCAGCAACAAGCAGGTCGAGTGAGTGAAGTAGACGATTGGTTTATTGGGTTCCTTTGGGTTGCTAAGACGCTAACATGTTTGTTTCTGTTTGTTGCAGCGAGGGGTTTGAACAGACGCGTGGTTCTCTGAACGACGTATACACGGCAGCGCAGTACACGGATCTGTTTCACAAGGTTCTGCCCGAATGGAGGACAACATACTTCAAGGCCAGCGTGCAGTTCCTATCCGAGGGATTGTGGAGGGTTCTGGCAGTGTCCGTCATGATCATGCTGGTGCATCAGATGCTGGGCAGAGGGTGCAGTATCCGCTCTCTGCGATTTGCCAACATGTACGTCCACGAGACTCGCAGCACTACTCTCCATGACGAGTTTCTAGACCTTCCAGTCATGATGTTCGTTTCTCGACAGACGAAGAACAATCCCACGAACCGTTTGTCCCACCAGTATGTTGCCAGGCACATCGACTACAGGCGGTGCGGCTACGGTGGTGTCTTTCTGTGGATCCATTTCGTGTACGACCTTGTCGAGGACCGATACAAGAAAAAACTCATTCCACCGTTGAAGTTTGACAAGAACACGGACTGGTTCAAGAAACACATCTTCTTCCCGATCAACAAGCACACCGACAGATCACCCCAAGAGCAAGACCCGATGGAATACAAGACGCACAACAATTGGATCGGCTGGGTGATGACTAAGGCGGGATGGTCGTCGAGCAAAGTGACCCACATTTTCCGCAGGTCCGGGGCGCAGGGTCTCAGCGACGACCGGTGCCCAGACGCCCTTATTGCGAAGCTGGGAGGATGGGAGCAGGGAGAGATGCGGAGGTCGTACCTGTTGGGCGTGCCTTTCGAGCCGGTGCTTTTGATGGCGGGCTTTTCTGGTGATCCCGGGGACTACTACATCGGCAGAGCACATGCCAAACTAGAGGATAACACCGAGTGGGAAGAACTCCAAGAATTATTCCGAAAGCACATCTACCCGTGGCTCGAAGAGGAGATGGCCAAGGTGCGTCATCATAGCTGGCTTTTTCGTTTTCTGGGTTTGGTCTCTTCATCTTTTTGTTGGGCGTTTCGCAGGTCGAAAAGTTCAACAAAGACAAGAAGT